TCTTGCTTGAGGGAATTCATTGCACTCTTTCTTTCTGTCCTTGGCAGGTTGCCCGCTGCAAACAACTCATCTGCGACCCCAGTTATGTTTCGGATCGTGTAACAAGGGTTGGTCAAGTGATTCGAGTAATCTGCATCTTAAGCCACCCAATCAAGAACACGAACGATGCCAACTCGTGCCAGATCATCATTCCACAGAATCAGGTCAACCGGAAATCAGGTGTGTGGGGAAGATTGGCTGCTACCTGCCTGTCTGTTGGTGTGCTGAGCACTTTTGTGTTAGGCTGGCGTGTTCCTTAAATCATATTAAGTGCCTGTCCTTGTGCCAACTGGATGCTCGTAAGACTTAATGAAGTCAGAGATTTAACAAAACTAATAGTTTGTCGTGGAAGTTTGGTCTCCTAGAAAAAGTGGGACTGAAAGGGACCTCATGAGATCTTTTTTTGGTTAAGCTTAACTAGCAGCATAAACCATCCTGGTCAAGTGTCTGTCCAACCTGGTCTTGGAACATTTCCAGAAGTGGTGGAGTCCATAGCTTAAGTGTGACCCCTTCCACTTTGTAACCATTCTCCTAGAGAGATTGCTTTGTAATCTTACTACGTTTCTCTGCTGCAGGCTATTGCTTTTAGTCCTGTCCCTTACAGCCACAGAGAATAGCTTTAGGAAATCAGCCTCACAAGATTGTGATAGCTCTTCTGTCTGTCAGTGTCTTCCCCACATATGCTTCCTCCTTGGAGGATTGTGGATGCTGCTGTGGCCTGGCCCAGCTCTTCTCATCTCTTACTTCTATCAGCTGCGGCTTCAGTTTCTTGGAAAAACTGCACACGTTCTCTCCTTGGTGCTTTCCCTCAAAGGGTATGAACAGGACTCTGGTCTCATTTAGGTTCAGTTTCTTCTTTTGCTTTGCACTGCTGTCGTTGGAGTTGAATGGACACTGAATGAGCAAAGAAAACACCATGCTTACTGCATAGTGATGGCTCCTGAGCTCTTTCCCATGCGTGTGTGTTCCTGGCCATCTCCCGTAGTAGTTGGATTCTCTCTTGGTGCAGAGGATAGTTACTAGCCGTTAAGTGACAGCAGCATTGGGGCATCTAGAAACCATCACCACTTGTCACAGTGGGCGTGTCTACACGTGCACTTTACAGCACAGGAGACTACTTTGCTATGTAGACAGTAACATTTTACTGCACGTGTGCCACAGTAAGGGCACAGTAGGTTAATTTATCCCACTGTAGAATAGTCTTGCTGGACACGGGTTTCATCTGATGGAGGAGTAAATTACAGTGCATAAACGCACATGTAGATGGTAATGTCGGGATTAGTTTACTTTGACTCGGCCAGAGTTTATTCAGTCACATTAATTGCACGTGCAGACACACTCAGCATACCCACAACTACAGAGCCAGCGTTCAAACGGCTCTGTATGTTTGATCAGTGATCAGAAGGCTTCTCAAAAGGACTAGAACCTTGTTCTTGAGCTCCAAGTGTTTAAGAGTCCAGTGAAATCTGTAGTTTTGACTTGGCCTATGTTTTGGGGGTCTGAACTAACAATCCCATCAGTTTAGTCTTTTATCTGAATCCAAAGTGATTGCATTTCGAGGCAAGTGTGTAAGACAGAGTGGAACTTTCTGCTTTTTAAAAGCCATCTCTGAGGGGGTTTTTTTGTTTTTTAATTGGAATCGCTTAAACCAGGTTAAACATGTCTGACTGGTTTAAGCCTCGTGCCTACAACTCGAGGAGGGGTTGTGCAGTGTGGATTGGGGCCAGGCTGCCCTCTCCTGGACACAGCTGGAGCTGCACAGTCTTCAGCTCTCCAATGCGGTGTCCTCCTTTGAGTCGGCAGTGGACTTGCTCAGCTCAAGCAATGGAGGCAGAAGGATGAATTTGGTTCCTGCTGGGTTCAGGTTTCTGCCTTACAGCTGTGGATCTCTATCGGAGGGTGTATGTTGAACGCCTTTGAATCAAAGGTTCTTTCCTAGATCCTTTGACATGCTTCTAAAAACAGGGCTAGAAGGGACCCCACAAGGTCCTCTAGTTCAGGCCTCTGCTCAAGGCGATATCATCCCTGACTCAACTATCCCAGCCCAGCGCCTGTTTAGCCTGAGGGTTTTCAAGAGCACGGAGGGAGATTCCACAACCACTTTCGGTAGCCTGTTCCAGTGCTTGACCGCCCTCGTAGCTGGAAAGTTCCTCCTAATTGCCAACTTAAACTACTTCTGCTGTAGCTTGAGGCTGCTGCTCTTCCATGGCCACAGAAGAGTCTGTCTTGTCCTCTCTCTAATGACCCTTAAGGCACTGGAATGAATGGGACCGACACCTGGATGGATACTTCTTGTGGGCCACGTACTTACGTAGTTAATTTCGGTTAACATCTTAAGTCCCTGCCAGCGTAACCACTTAGGAGATCAGCTGATGCATGGTATGAACAACCTCTGACTACTTTTTGTATGTCATCCTAGATATCTATGTCTGCATGATCTCTTCTGCGCACAACGTGGCTGCACAAGGGAAGTACATTGCCATTGTTAGCACCACCGTGGAAACGGCAGATCCCGAGAGAGAAATCAAACCTGCCCTGGATCTCTTGGAGCCGATTGAACAGAAGTAAGCTTTCCTGCTTGCCCCAGCTGTCGGTCTCTTAGCTGCTCCTATGCATCAGAAATCTGGCTGACTTGGACTGTCGCTACTGCGATGGTGGCAGACTTGTCCTTGGACCTTGAGGACGTGGGGTAGAGACTCCTTTGGCATCGGGTCTCTGTCGCCGAGTTGCCTAGTTGATTGCATGTTGGGGCCCTTGATTTCCTTTTCCTTTTCCTTTTCCAGCTCTTGGAGCTTCATGGTCAGCTCTTGCCTCTGTCCTGGCACTTGAAAACTGACTTGGCCTCTTCGCAGTGGGGAGGTCCTTGTATTGGTATCCTGAAGAATTGGGTAATTAAAGGCAAGCTAAAAAATGTCTTCTCTCGTAGGTTTGTTAGCATCAGCGACCTGTTTGCGCCAACTGACTTGGGAACCGAAAGCCAGGTTAGTATGAACGGCCAACAGCCAGATTGCTATGTCTGTGTGTAAGGGGAGAAAGTGGAGACACTAAGCTGTGGAACTTCTTTTTCCAGATCTTTATTTCTCGCACTTATGATGCTACCACTCACTTTGAGACGACATGCGACGACATCAAAGATATTTATAAGCGGATGATGGGATCAGATTTTGACTTTGAAGAAATGAAGCGCAAGAAAAACGATATCTATGGGGAGGAGGAACAGCAGTAATGAGCAAATGTCTAATTAGGAGAAATTTAAATTGGCTAATATGAATATATAAGGAACTTAATGAACACTGTATGAAATTCAATATTGTAAGGCCTGCTTTTGTAATCACATCTCTGAGAGATTGAAGAGTACTGCACTGTTAAATGCTCCCCTTCTGGATATCATGTGTTTAACTATTTCATTCTAGTAGGGTTGCTGTCCAGATGACTGACCTGACTTAACCATTACTAACCTTGTAAGCAAACAGCAGACTGTTTGTCAGACTTAGGTGTTGGTGCATACTGAAATAACTCATTGACAGCTGTGTTACTTTTTTTTTTTTTTTTTTTTTTTTTTTTTTTTTTTTTTTTTTTTTTTTTTTTTTAAAAATCTTGTATTTTTAATCATTTGTAAACATACTTCACCATGATGTGCTTCTGGTGTATTAGTAACCTTGACAGATGTCATTCAGACCTGATATCGAGAAACACCTCAGCTGAGCACTCCATTGCTGTGGACAGCATCCCTAAAGTCTTACCCATCAATCTTAACTCTGTGGCAAGTTGTATTATGGACAAAGCCCACCTCTCTTGTAGCAGCAACTGTTGGCGTAGTTCTGGGCACAGGGCCTAACCCACACTTCAGCTTCTAAAACAGTTTACATCAGTTGGAACACAACTGTGCCTAAAGGTTCCTTTGTGTTTTAATCCAATAAAATTGAGAGAACAAATTACAAAGCAGGCAAGATGTGAAAGTATTTTCTGTACCCATGTGGCTTTTTTGGATGGACCAAACTGCACTGCAGTATTGATATGACAGAGCCTGTGCTTCTGATGTCTCTTGAAGGCTCCAAATGATTTCTGTACTGCGAAGTAAAGCCAAATTCTGGAAACCAGTCCTGTGCTCTGGTCTGATTCGCTCCCATAGTGTACAAAGGGCAGCCACTTTCCCCGAGATCTCCAAGCGGTCTTGCTGCCACTGTGAAGCAAGCGCTTGGCATACAAGCCTTAATAATAGCAAAAAGCAGACTTCCTTGGCGTTTTTTTTTTTTTTTTCTTTCCGCTACAGCTGTTTCTAAAGGAAGTCTGCATTTTGCTGGCAAGTACTCATCGGCCTCCCTGCTCAGGTAGGGGAGAGGACCGAGCACTGCTATGCTGAATCGCACCTGGCCCTGGCTCGCATGCCCTCGTGTGCTGTTACAGCCATTAATGGGGAAGGGTAAAGCTGTGCTGGTGGCCAGGTCTGAGCACAGCTCTCCCTGTGGCCATGCCAGGACTGATTTGAGCTCCAAGTCTCCCTTGCCTGGTGTAGACCTGCAAGCAGTGCAGCATCTTGGTTTGAAAGTGTAAAAAACAGTCCAGCTGGATGTTGGGTAAGGGGCCTGACTGCCTAATGTCTTGCAGGCCTCTCTGTAAGCTACTTCTGTCTGTCCATTTCTAGATGGTAGCAAACCCTCTTGTTCTCAGGAGTGTTTCTGAGGTAGGAGCTCCACTAGAGAGCTCTTACCCCCTTCAAAATGCCAGCAGTGACAGCTGCCCCAGCTGGAGCCCAACTCGGCCAGGAGGGGGAGTGCTAAGACTTGACATGGGCTGCTAGCCCTCCCCACTCTGTCCTGTGCAAAGCTGGCTTTTGTCTTGGCCTGAATGCGACTCGAGTCCAAATGCAACTGTTAGTTAAACGCTGAATCTCCAGCACTGCTGAGCTGTCGGCCAGAAGCAGCAGGCAGGTGAGCTGTGCACGGAGCGTGGCTTCTGCAAGAGGAGCAGAGCCCCTGCCGGGGATACTTGTAGTAGCTTCTGAAAGAAATCGGGACACCCAAACTAAGGAGCAGATGCACGTGCTGTTTGAAAGGGCCCGAGACCCTCCACCGGAGCACCTCTTTAAACCAAGCACTGCTCCGAGCACTTGGTTACGGGTGTGTGGGCACTGTGCAGGAGCTGGGTTTCAAGTGCCTCTGCTGATGCCAGAGCCAGCTCCAATCCCCTTTCCTCTCCCCTGCAAAGGGGAGGAGAGATGCAGGGTATTTGGGAGCCCCAGACATCTCTGGACTCCTCCTCCCCCCCCCAACCATGTGAGGACCTACAACTTGCCACAATAGCACCCCTGGGCTCTTGCTGGAGGACTTAGCAGCGTTTTTATCCGTTCCAACCAGGAATAGCACGAGGGTATTCCTAAATGCCTTTCACTTGGAAATGTTTCCGTTGTTACACCTGCTATTATCAAGGGCAGCTCAGCCTGGCTTCTTGTAACCTAGGCAGTTGATTTCCATCTTCAGCTTGTCCCATCAGGTGCGCTAGCACTGGTTAGTACCAGCAAAGTGCAGGGTTGGGGTGGGGGAAATTAAATGCCCTGATCCTAGTGGCTGACTCAATGCTAGCAGAGCTTTAAAGATCAGAGCCCTTCTGAAGGCCTACTACAATTAGCGGCTGCTGATGGTTTAAGAGGTAGGAAGGTCCTTTTTCTTGGGGTAAGAGCCTTCTTGGGAGCCTCTCTCATGCATTGCCACCAATTCAAACATGCAGACAAGGATAGTGTTCTTCAACTCCGTTAAACACTTGATACTGGTTCTGGGCAGGCCCTCGGTCCCTGAACGGCATTTTTCGAATACATCTATTAATTGCCATTGGCACAAAGAGTACTCTAACGTCTTAGTTCCTTGTCTGGGTCTACTGCTTTTCGTGTTGGTAACCTTTGGGAGAGCTTGCTGCCAGGTGGCAATTTAAGCCATGAGAAGAATGTACTTTACCGTACCCTCTTCTAAAAACTTCAGCTTTTTATGCCGTTGGAAAGGGCGGTGAAACAAAGGGGGAGTTTTTGTAGGGCTGGCTGTTGTAGGAGACCAACTCTGCGAGCCTGAGTTTTTTTTACTTTTGTGTTGCAAGTTGTGCTCGCTTGACTTGAAATGCTTTGTTGTAACCCTGCTATCTCTTCAGGTGCCAGGTCTCCTGCCTACGAGCCTTCAGTATTAAGCCACTTGTCCCTTTCGGGGAAGCAGAGGGGAGAGGTGACACCTTCACAGGTGCCGTCTCCACAGGCAGGTAAATGAACAGCTTCTGTGTCTGTGCTGGGAGGAGAAATAGACTTGGACTCTTTCAGCTTCTGGAAAAGGATCTTCCCTGTGCAAAGTTGATTGCTTCTAAAACGACAAGGTAGGCTCCCCCCAACCCCGCTCCTCCCCCTAAAACATCTTTGATCAGTCCTGCTCTTCAGCGTTTCCACTGCTCCTTGCATGTGCAAGCAACTGTTTGCATTTTTCTTATTGTGAACTGGGAGTCGTGTAAACCATAATTCGGCCTTTTGGAGCTGGTTGAGTTACTCCCGTCGGGCAAGAGGGAAACCAGATGAGAGCACAGGTGGTGCAGAAGTTGAGGGGCACATCAAAGACCTGAATGCCATCACACATGGTACAAGTGCTCTAGTTTCTGCTGCAGGGGTCAGTCAGGTCATTGCTCTTGCACCTACTGAGAGCTGGGATCAAACTGGGTTACCACCTAGTAGGCAACTATCATAGTATTTTTTGTTCAAGAGATGTAGACAAGAGGGCCTGTGACAGGAACTAATTAATACCTTATGGATCGCTCCTCACTTCAAAATGGTGACGGGTGTTTAGCAAGACAGCGGTCAGAAAACGACCGGTTGGCTCAAACACCAGCGCCGGTCGTAGGCATCCACGTGCCAATTGAAAGCTTCACTGAAACATTTCTCAAGCTCACAAAAAAATGATGTTTGTAGTCTAAACTAGCCAAAGGCCTTTGTGGCTCAGGTCGTCTCCTGGATTCAAGTTTCTGCTCAGCATTATCCTAACCTAGGCGGAGCCCTTAAACCCCTGAGCCATTTCTTCCTAAACCAAAGGAAGGTCTCGGGAGGCAGAACACAGGATTCCTGAACTCTGGCGCGTGGGCAAAACACTTCGCTCGTCTCTACTGCAGCCTCTGTCAAGAAAACCCTAAATGAAGACAGGCACGGTCTAGGAGAGAGGTGTCATTTTCCTGTTTTATTAGTCAAACTCTGTACAAAGGTGTCCTGTACACAGCTGCGTTTCTTGTTCACTTTTATTAAAAAAAAAAAGAAAGATTAGTTACAAAAACATCTTCCAAATACATCGGGAACGTATCTTACAAACGTTGCTTTAGTGCTGAATGGGCCTTTCAATCCGGCGGCTTTGTGGAAGGCCATAAATATGTGCTCTTGGTTTCGGCATCCGGTTGTCCTATTTACAAGATTTCCGTATGGTGGAAAATAAAGGAGGTCCAATAGTGTGACAGTACCATTAAAAAAAAAAGACCGCAGCAACTTGACCTGTAGTGTCGATTGGGCTGTCGCAGACCGACTGCCAGAGCAGTAATCCTCAACAGCCATCTAAAATGTACAACCTCCCCCTGTCCCTCCCCTCCCCTCCCCTCCCGCCCGCTCATACAACATGCATGTTGTGTACATATGTACATGAGCGCCCAGGTATAGAAACAGCTTGCTGGGATGGACTGGCATCGCTCCCAGCTGTCAAGTAAATCGTTTTGCTTCCTCTGGTCTTGATTCAGTTAACAAACACTCCCCTTTGGAAAATAAAATAATTTAAAACATTGCATATGTTAAAATACCTCTCTAAGCAACCCGGGATTGGGGGCCGATAGCATCGTAAGAAAGCTTCTGACTGACCAGCCTTAAATACAGTCTAAAAATCTACCCAACTAAAAGGAAGGGAAGTCACCTGTTCTTTCTGCACGGGGGGTTTATTGTGCAGTCGCAGGACCTGAAAGAATAAAGTTCTTTCCATCTCAAAAGCTTAAAAGCATAGCAATGAGCTCCACTTTGTTCTCCGTCCTCGCTGGGGGCGGTGAGGCCTGGGCTCGACTTCCGTCACCTAGAACAAAACGAGTGTTACTTGGCAGTAGGTCCTCATGGCAGTAAGGTCGCCCAGACAGCCCTTGGGACCGGGGATGAGAGCGGGTCAACCCGCTGCATGCAGCTGCGTGGAAGCAGGACGTTGGCTGCTGTGGTTCTCCGGGTGTGACGTGTTGTGGTAGGAGTGACAGTAATTGCACAAAGAACAGACGATGGGTTGGATAGGGGCAATCCTGCCTCAGGCAGGAGGTTGGGCTAGATGTGACCCCTGGAGATCCCTTCCAGCCTACTTCTATGATGACTACCGCAGTGAAACTTGGGACCGGCTCAGAGACACGAGCAGTCGGTGTGAGCCACCACCAAACGCAACCCTGGAGGCGAACTGCGCAAGCATTCTCCGGTCCAAGAAAAACCCACGACAGTCCAGCAAGGTGTGGATGCGGGGCAGGCTGCCGGCACAGGCGCTTGTCTTGGGGATGGAGTTTGCATGATGCCGCCGCCGTAGCACAATACCAAGCGACCGGCTGAAGCCCGACACTTAGCTCAGAGCTGTGGGCTGAGCAGCGTTAGCTTGGACCATCCCGGCATAAGGGCAGATGGATAAGTCTAGCAAGGCTTTGGGGTTTTTTGGGCTGAACTCAGGCACCTGCGTAGCGCTAGGAGAGTTGGGCTCTTGCTGTGTCCACAGCTGGGTTCCTCTGAGCTTTTCAGAAAAGGTCCCCAGGGCTGAGCCACGAAGGGGTGCCTGCCCTACCCTTAGCTGTCCTTGCCCTCGCTCGCACCAGGAAGCTATTTGCCCCTTGCAAATTAAGGAGGTCTCTTCCCTTCCCAGGATGCAGCATCAGCTTGCAAAGGACCTAGTGCCGGGCTCAGGCACAGCTGTGGGGCTTCACTGCCCTTCTCTTACACCTTCCCTTCGCTTCTCTGCCCAGGAGAGGGTGGCTGAGGAGGGGCTTGCTCATCCCAGTGCAAGGCAGCGAGGAAGGGACTCAGGCCCAGCATGGAGCAGTTGCCTGCTGTCAAAGCAGGATCTGCTAACCTCCTTCTGACACTGTTCTGCCTAACAGAGGGCCAGGCCTCAGTTTAATCAGCAGGACGCCGCCACGTTCTCCTGCCTTGTCTCAGCTGATCAGTGAACGGACAAGGACAGCAAAGGGTAACGCAGATGTCTGGCTGCTTGGTCTGTCAGACCTGCTTCTTCCCTCGCCAACCCTCAGACAGCTCGTGCCCTTGTTAAACAGGAGGGAGGCATGGGTAGAGGGGAGGAGGGAGCTGGAGCCGAGGCAGTGGCAGGTGCAGACTGGGGATCTCAGACAGATGAGTGATCTGCCAGCAGGAGGTAGCTCTGTGCCTTGCACACATGGCTCAAAACATGGCGCTGCCCTGGGGACAGCGGGCACCTGACCCAGCGACCAGCCCGGTGGGGAACGGGCACGAGCTGAGCAGGACGTGTGCAGGCCGAGCACCTGCTGCTCCCCTCTGCCAGCTCCTGGCAGGGTGCTACAGCTGTAGCACAGGGCCTCCTCCAGTCTAACTCCCTGGTGGCTGTGGCTCACAAGCCTTTGCCGCCAGGTGCTAAGGCAACAGGCAGCAACAAGTGGCATCCCGGACGCTCCAGAGCTTGGAGAGGACATCCCTGAAGGCTCCAGATACAGCTGTAGTTCCCAGTCTCCAGGCACCAGGTGGAAACGCTGAGCACGCAAGCTCCAGCAACGAGGGAGGGAAAGAACCGAGTCACAAGCTCGAAGGGTGTAAACGAGCCCCCAGAAGAGTTCCCGCAGGCAGCGCTAGGACTCTGCTGCCTCACGCGTGAGAAGATGGGCACGTCCCCTCCACGATTTACAAGTCTCCCATTAACAGATCTACTAGCTGATCTGCTGCTTCTGCAGGTCAGCACCCCCAGCGCGGGCATGGGCACGCTCCTTGGGAGTGCTCACCCACATAAGCCCTCCGGTACCAGTAATCCCTCCTTACCAGTAGCTTTTTTTAAAGGGGGCGGCCACCTTCTGCACGGTGCCGATGAAGGTGTTCACGTCCACCACGAGGATCCCTTTGCTTTCAAAGACCTCTCTGCTGACGCTAGGCTTATCTGTGAGTGGGGAAAAAAAGTCGAGCGGTGAAAATGCGTGTGATAAAACGAGTCTGCTCTTTTTTTCCTTAGAGAAAAACCTCCGGTAAGTCGGCATTGCTACAGATCTACCCAGGCAAGCGATCCATGTGTTGGGTGGACGCGTCCACCTCCGAGGGCACTGGGATTCATGGGTGCCAGCAGGTTGATGGAGCGTGCTTTGGGAATAACCACTGAGCAACCAATCATACAATAAAGGAAATACATGGATGGATCTTGAAACACGCCAAGGAAGTTGCCAGCTAGACAATTCATCCTGCCTCACGCAGGGGGGTTGGACCAGATCACCTCTGGAGGTCACTTCCAGCCTGACTTCTCTATGATTTCTACTCACCCTGTTATGGCGATACCTTTTGTTGGACCAACTGCTCTGCCTATAAAAGATAAGACCAAGCTAATCATGGCCTGGACCATCATGGCTGCAACACCGCTACCGCACTCTGGTGAGCGATAATGAAACCTGCCTGTCAAACACGCAATCGCCCGTCCCGGGGAAGGGGGAACTCGCCGTTTTCTAGGCCGCTACTGAGAAGCAGAGCCGTGGCTTCTGGCTTGGGCCCTCTTCGTCTTCCAGCTACAGACTCGCAGCTGGGCGCGAACCCTGTGCTCCACCTTCCTAGCTATGAAGGACAGCATGTGTGCAGGGCTCAGAGCTCTAATGCCTCAGCGTGCGGTTATCTTGGGGCACGTGTGACCGGAGTCTGTGCAAAAGGTTGGAGGTGAAGCTGTTTCAGAGCCCCCATCTATCTTCTACTCTGCTCTGGTGAATGGCTGGTGAGGTTAGAACAGGAGAACCTCAAGGGTCTTGAAGGTTGTTACAGGTCAGAGAGGCCTCTGCAAGGCAGGCATCGTCTCAGCTCCATAATTACTGGACACACGGGCAAGTCGCAGGGCAGGGAGGTTGGGAGACTTAGAGTGGAGAAGTCCAACAGTAACGTAGCTGGGGATAAAACAGAAGGGCTGTTCCCGGCCCCTAGCAGACACTTTCAGGCCCACAGTTTGCCTCCTTCAGAAGCTTTGTGATAACTGAAGCCCTTGCTCTACACGCATGTCTGCATGGGTGTGTTATTGCAGGAGAAAGTTCAGAAGAGAGCCCAGAGCCACCTTCAAACGCATGCAGGCTTCCCCCGCCTCGTGGTATGCTTCCTTCCCACTGGCTGTCATCTTCCATAGGCCATCAGCCATTTGAAGACAGTAAAGCACCCAACACAGTGGGCCACCTGCACTGACTGGGGCATAAGGATGGTACCGTACAACCAACAGCCTATTGCTCTTATACGTGCTGTGGGTAAGGGTGTCATTCATGGAGCCGCACTGCACTACACCAGTCCTGACAGTTAGCCTATCGTTTACTCTGTGATCAACATGGGCTGAGCACCTAAACCACCAAACGACTCAGAATCCTTTGGGGCCCTGCCACGTCTTACATGGTTAATCGCGCAATAAGACCGGCCACATGTGCAGAGTGAGACCAGCCACAGGTGCAGTCGTTATCACACAACTAACTGGGTAATTGCACAATAATTTAGACCGGCCATATGTGTAAAGTAATTATCACGCCATAAAAATGTCGGTCCTGCTATAAGAAGAGCGGACCAGTGACAAAGGTAGTGCTTGAAAATGTGTAACAACTTCATAGCTGGTTTCTAGCCAGCTTTAATTTGAACGTGTGGCAGGGTCCTTAGCCTACTTCATAACATAACTGCACTCTGTTTAATTGGCGAGACCAGTGCATTATTGGTGAAAGTGGGTGTGCCTAAACAAATGCTGCTGGATGGGTTTACTCTGCAGTAATTTACTGCAGAGTAAACCCATCCTGGGCAGGCGTCTACATGTGCAGGCGTTTGGGAGCAACATAGAGACGGCAACTTCCACCCTGCTCTGCCCCCCTGCAGCAGCCAGGGGGAGCTCCAGGCTCCCCCTGGGTGCTAGCCCAGTGGCTAGCAGGGAGCACAGGGATAGGAGACTGCTCCCTGCTGCCAGGGTGGGCTCTGATGGCAGAGCCTGGGCTGGGACAATGTCCCCCGGGCCTGGCAGCAGAGAGCTCCCAGCCTCAGCTCTGTGGTCAGAGTGGGGGCTGAGAGATTGCTCCCTGCCCCCAGGAGCTACCTGCTACTGGGGTGGAGCCTGTGCTGGGACAGTGTCCCCCTGCCCCGGCAGCAGGCAGCAATCTCCCACTCCCTGCTGCCCAGGAGCAAATTTGCTCCAGGTCGGCTGTCTACATGTGCCTTACTGTGCAGTAACTACTCCGCAGTTCATCTGCTACCTGCATTTGCAGGTGGTAAATTAACTGCGGAGTAGACCAATTTACTGCGCAGTAAGTGTCTGCACGTGTAAATCAGTGCTTCCCAAACTTTTCCTCATCATGACCCCAATTCTGAGCCCATTGCCTCTGTATGACCCTATTTCCTCAGCATGGCCTCTCACTCCTAACCTGAACCCTTCCACCCCACTTCCTCCCCTAACAGGTGCTCGTCGCTCACTGACTAGCAGCCATTCATTTCAAGGCTTCAAAGGCCCCAAACCGACTAGAACCTGTTCAGTTCAAGGCTGCTAATAGGGGGACCTAAGTGGTTTTGAGAAAAAGGGGAGAGCCTTAATAGGGTGCAAAATAAGGCTAGCTATTTCGTTAGCTAATGTTGAGATCGAGTGGGCATAGTGCGTGCTCAGAATAAGCATGTAGCCTGGCTCAGTCTTGAGGTTAAGCACGCAGCGGCAGACACTGCACTAACATCCCCGAGCAGATTTCTTACCTGTGAGATACACCGCAAACCTGGCACTGATGTGCTGCACCTGCAAGTTCAGCAAGCACTTGAGATACTCTGATTTGGTGGACGACTTGGAGTCGCACTGGTGGTAGTGAAGGACTTCCACGATATTCACCCCCTGGCAGGACTTCAGGATCAAGTTCTTTTTATGAGCATTCGAATCCACCCTGTTGGAAGACAGGTTTAAACCGTGAGTCATGGTGCCACGCCGCGGATCCGACACAGCCATCATGAGGCTTTTCTTCCACACCCGGCTCTCTTTCCCAGGGTTTTTTCTCCTTCCCCTGCTCATGTTTCTTAGGCTTTTTTTAACCTGCACTAATGTGATTATATCCATTCCCGCTGCACCCCACACACCAACCAACAAACCAGCTCCAAGCCAAAAGACCTCTTAGGAAGTTTGATAAAACAACCCTAAAATCAACCACTGCTCAGTGGTTCCCAGGGTGGGTCTGAGGCCTCCATCTCAGGTCTCCTGTTGTAACATCACAACAGGACTGGAAAAGTGCACCGTGGGTCTGGCTCTGAATTTTTTGGGTTTTGCTGATCTGTATCAGGCAGGGTTTTAAAAAAAAAATATATCTATTTGCTTTTCTCCCATTTCTGATTTTAAAGTTTCCAGCACGAACTGATAGAAACAAATGCTTCTCAGGGAAAAAAAACCCTGAGTGAACAAAAAGTAATGTGAACAGACCATGTGGCCTTCATGACAGTCTCCACTACATAGCAATCCCTACCTGTCCATACCAGACCAAACTGAAGACCCTGTTGGATTGCTTAGGCAATGGATAGAAGACAAGCAGAAGGGCTGGAGCTTAAATCACAGAAAAAAGGGGCTGGGACAGACCTCAAGAGATCATCTCATCAACCTCCTGCTCACGCTGGATTCCCCCTGGCCAAAGTATTCATTTAACTTGCACTTCACACCATCCCGTGATGGAGATTTCCCATCCTTCCTAGTTAATCGGTCCCCGTGCTTAGCCATCCTCTCAGAATATTCTTCCTAATACCCAACCTCAGCCCCTTTTTGTTGCCATTCAAGCCCTTTGCTTCCTTCCTATCCCCGAGGCACGGAGATAAGTCAATTCCCGTTCTTTTGGAACAACCCTTTCCATATTGGAAGGCTGCTTTCCATCTCCCCGCTGTTAGTCTTCTCTCCTCCAGACTAACGAACCCCACTTCTTTCAACCTTTCCTTGCATGTCATGGTTTCCAGGCCTCTAGCCTGGACTTCCCATGAGTCTGACTGGGAAACCAGGGGGCCTGTGATGCGATTACCTTACATCTTCTTTTAGCTTTTTACTTTCTTTGTAGTGAAGAAGCCATCGCCACCGCCCGGTACCATTCAGCTTCTCCAGCGCTTTAACCATTTCTTTCAGTTGACCTGTGGAAAGAGCATCTGCTGCGTTTAGGCAAGAACAAAACCTCCCAACGCGGAGTCTGAGAATCAGAGGCTGCTTCTGGGCACATCCACAGAGCTTGAGGATGGTGTTGGGGGCTGCTGTATTGGGATGTTTCACACCAGTTCTGTACGTCTGGCTTTCCAAGCTGGAAGTAGCATGGACAGCATAGCGAGGCACTGTACGTGCATCAGCCAGCTCATCTGAGAGGCAGAGTTTATTGGCACGTGCCCCATGCCACACAAAGCTGGCTATGCTACTATTCAGAGGAAGTTGCATACGTCACACATCTCAGTGTGGCACCCTGTAGCCCTGCACTGGGGCGGTATAGACTTATGAAATGGGATGATACGTCAGACAGCGCTACGCACGAGATAGAAGTGATCCTGATTTTAATGAGCCACCCAGAGGCCTACATAGCAGATTCCCCCCCCTTATTTTCAGCGATGGCTCAAGAGGTTAAAAACATTGGTAGCGTTTTCCTAGGCTGCTAGCTGAATCCAGCTCAGGTTGAGTTTGGCCAAGTGAAAGCCCCCTAGAGCCATATGCACGTCCCCATATTTTTGCCGTCTTCGGTATTCAGCTGAAGCCGTCGTTTCCGCAGCTGCTCTCCAAGATACCCTCCTGGAACGAATGAGCCGTGTCCACGTGTAAGAAAGGAGAAGCAGGGGCTGGAAACGTGGAACTCACCTAAAGTGACCGTTTCTAATACCTCCTCGTCTGAGACCACGAAGCCGCCCATGTGAAACAGGTCCTGGTAGGTGTGGTCCGTTACGTCCTCCGGGCCATCCACTCCCGCAAAGGTCACGTTTGGGCAGTGCTTTAGCCGCAGCAAGGAAGGGATCTGTGAGAGGCAAACACATCCTTCATGCCCTACACACGCTTCCTAGCAAGTGAGAGTTCACACCCACTGCTAGAAGACTCGTTCCTTCCTCTTCCAGGAGATGCGAGGTCTTGGGGTCTCAACCACGGTCCCTTGCTTTAGTCCTTTACCCTCAGGTCTCCACAGTCCAGTCCCCTCTAGCTCTAGATAATTAAGCGACCCCCAAAGAGCCTCTTACTGTGGGAGAGATGAGGCACTTGGAGGGACCCACTGCCCTGAGTCAGGCACTGAGGAGTGAGGGCCCTGAGGAAGGGACTCGTGGACGCCACCAAGCTGAGTGGGAGATGCTGAAGGGAGGGAGACCCCAAAAGCAGTTGGATGCCTAGATCCAGGCTGCACCAACTCGCTAGCCCCACTCAGGGCTCTGAGCTGTGACCTCTCTCCTGGACACAGCAGTGTTACAGTGATGTTGCAGCCGTGACGGTCCAGAAATTATGGGAGAGGCAAGGATTGCTTGTGGGGGGTGTCTCTCTTATTGGAACAAGTTCATGGCTGGGATAGAGGGAGTCAGGCTTTTGAATGCAAGGCATTCCTCATCAGGTCAGAGCAGTAAGAGCCAGCACAGCATCGTGGGTTGTAATAAAAGGGAGCGAAATCCTCAGGGGCAGCAGACAAACACTTAGCAGAAGAAAAGCAGCAGCTTGTTGGGAGATCAAGGCCTATTGAAAGGGTGGAGGGTCATTCTCATCTTTCATGGGCGGGGAGAATTCAGGGATCAGGTAAGTTATAATGTGCCACAAACCCAATATCAGCATTAAGTCCTTGGTTTTGAGTGTCCAGCAAGCTTATGAACTGATCTTCCCAAGTACAGGCATCTGTCCCTTCTGACGGACCAATGGCAATAGCATCCCCGTGTCTTGTTACGGATACGGCCCATACCTAGGGCACTCAGCTGGGACCTGGGAGACTGTGTTCAAAGTCCCTCCTGATTTGATCAGATCGGGAGCAGGGACTTGAGCCCAGACTGCCCGGGAGCCACTGAGTATTCTGCAAACCTGCTGGGGCTCTTCTGCTTCACATAAATAAATGCATGCTGCAGTAGGGGCTGAGGTGCCCACAGCCTCGAGGAATGCTCTGACCTTGGACTGTTGGGTGCCCTTAGGGCTAGGAGACAGCAGGGTGGAGGGCTCCCCTAAACTGAGGGGGGCACATGCCTAACTGGTATGCAAGGTCCCCGAGCCCATTGTGGGCTTAGCCCCGTGAGCCCAGGGCCAGTAAGCAAGGTGGTTCGTGGGGTCAACTGAAGTTGAGCAGGGGCTGAAACCCATAGATCAGGTGCGAGCAATTATTTCAAGTGGAGGGCCACTTATTTAGTTTTGGCAAGCCATCGAGGGCCAGATGACAGGCAGCCAGGGGCAGATAAATATTAATTTTCTAAATGTTTTAGGGGCCCCACAGGCTGGATAGAACGACCCAGCAGGCCACATCCGGCCCCCGGGCTGCATTTTGCCCACCCCTGCCATAGATTAATATGGTTTTTGGTTGTAGCCGTGTTGATCTGAGGACACAGGCAGGCAAGCTTCTTTGGGTAGATGTGATATCTTTTATTAGACCAACTTTGTAGAGTTGCTTTGTCGATTTAATAAAGGATATCACATCTACCCAAAGAAGCTTGCCCACCTATAGATTAACAGAGACAGACTGGTGCTGGACATGGAGGCAGGAAAGGTGTAATTTCAATACTCAGTCCCTGGCCACGGCTTAGCATGGAGCAGGCTAATAGGTGACACTGAAAGGATGGAGGACAGAGCTTCTGCACAACTCCCAGAGGCTTCTCCTGGCTGAGGAATATCTCCTAGAGGAGTCTCATTGCAGGAAGCAGCTCTTCCAACATGCATCCAGCACAGAGACCTCTCTGAAGTGCCCGATGTGGCTTTGCTAGTTTGCAAAGAGCACTCAGAGCCTGCAGACAGGAGCAAAGGGCCTGAAGCCCAGGATCCGACTCAAGCTGCCTTGATGTGCAGGCTTGGACGAGGTGCTGTGATGCTGTTAAACCAGGCGAACCCAACTGACCAGTGTCCTGCCTCTGCCGCGACTCCTGCGTGTCATTAGCTATTCAGCAATCCAGGATGGAAGAAGAGAAATGAAGCTCGGCCCTGACTACACTCCTGCTGGGTTTCTTTTATAAACAACCCCTCAGCCAAGCATTTGTTAGCTTTAAACTGCAAAATCCAAGAGCAATACACATGCAAACGGTGACAATTACTTCTGGAACAGGGGCAAAGTAAGAACTTTGTGGTATCTGGAAACGGGCCTGCCAGTCTTGGTGCAAGGAATGCGTTTCTGAACCTACTTTATGAATATGCAAAGATATGTCCTCGTTCCTAATAATGACGATCAGCCGGTCCGTCTCCCGGTGTTTTAGCTTGCAGAAGTTCACCGGTTCGATCTCAGTGTGGCCGCCTTTCTTCAGCAAGTTCTGAAACACAAGTCAGTCACTGCAGCATAGGGAGGATCTTGGCATGGCCAAACGTTTTATAGCTTAGTGAAACTGGCTATCTAAAATGATCCCCTGCCGTCTCAAATGTGCGATTTATCTGCTAAAAACCTGGTTTCTTAGACTTTTGTGATGCTAATGCCCGACAAGAGACACAAACCTCACCATACGCAGGTACCTTTTGTTAGGTTTTCCTCCTCAAACCCATTTAGGTAAAGTTAGCCCCGTTACAGCCCAGCTGAGAACGCCAGCCAGAACTGAGTGGAAAAAGTTGCCTATGTTATGAATATGCTTAAGATGTGTTGCTCTTAATGAGGATTTTGATTCTAGGAATAGTTAAGCGACCCCCGAGCGAGCAGGGGGGGCTGGACCTGATGATCTCGTGAGGTCCCTTCCAGCCTCTAACTTTTATGAGTCTATGAATATCCTACCTGTCTGAACGTTCAACTTTTCAACACCAGATTTTAAAACTAAGTTTACCTCAGGGTCAAATACCACACAGGAAAACGAAGAATAAGAAAAAATAGCAATCGTTTTGCAGCAGGCCCTGCCTGGGCAAACCAGCACGCAGCGCGAGAGACTCAGAACAGCCTTCTCACCATTGCCTCCGCTTGTTAGTAGGGGCAAACTTATTTTCAGACTCCGACCTACCCTTGTGGAGTGGTACATCACGCTCTACGCATCATCTTGTGTTTGGGGGAAATGATCTGCAACCTCTGGGTGCGTGCACGCGTGACACTGTGGAGCTGCCTAATTAGCTTCACAGTAAAGCATTGGTGTCTACATGAGTGGCGCTATTAGGCCAGAGCAAACTAATTCACTCTACTGTAGGATACTACTGCCCAACACAAGTACTGTTGTATGGCGGAGTTATTCAGTCTGTCAAAATGCACGTGTAGACACTGACAGGGCTGGCTGGGGCACAAGGTGCTTCAGTGCGGGGGGCTGCCTGCTGGCTAGCCCCACACTGCAGCACCCTCGTGCCCCAGCCAGCCTCTCCGCAGCATGTGGACCTGAGCAGGAACAGCCCCGGGCTGGCAGGCGGACCCTCCGGCGTCCTCTACCAGCCAGGGCTGCTCTACCCTCAGCTCAACGTGCTACGGTCCTGGGTGCATGTGTAAATGTGCAATAAACTCCGGAGCAAGCTGCGACAGAGCTCATTGTGTCACATTAATATTCATGTATAGATGCACCCACGGTGTAGTAGGTAGATAACTCAGTACTCGGACTCCATACTAGCTGATTTGATTAAAGAAAATTAAAGTTCCTGTTATAGACATAATAACATAGGATGTGCCGTAACGGGTCCTTCTAGCCTGCTGTCTTGTCCCCGACGGCGGCAGGGGTGGATGCTATAGAGGGAGAGCACTAAACTGAATGATCTGTCCCATGTTCAGTACCCTCCCTGGCTTCCACCAGTAGAGATACCGGAGGAAACATCTCCAACCATTCTGCTCAATAGCCATCAACAGACCTATCTTCCGTGAATTTATCTAGTCCCTTTTCATAGCTAAGTCCCTTTATCTAGTCCCTTTTCATGCGATCTCTGGGTGCATGTACACACGACACTTACTGTGGAGATGCCTAACTAGCTTCTATCTATGAAAAGGAACTGAATAAATTCACAGATGACTTTGAACTTGGCTACGCTGTGTAGAGCTGAGATTATAGTTGTATGGCAGCACTTCCCAAACTGTGGGTCACCCCCCCAAATGTGGTCGCAACATCAGGGGATGAGGTCATGGGGCTGTGCGTTTGGAGCGAGGGGAAATGGGCCATAAATGGGGTCATGCTGAGGAAAAGTTTGGGAAGCACTGTTGTATGGGATGGTTTGGATGCGGATGATCCTGCCTCCGGCAGGGGGGCTGGTCTAGATGACCTCTGGAGGTCCCTTCCTGCCCTACTTCTCTATGACCATCTTCCTCCCCCACCTCCTGGGGCAATGCATTTTATAAGTTAACTACACATTGCATAAAAAAAGCAGTTTCTTTTGTTAGTTTTAAACCTGCCTCGTGCTAATTTCCGCGGATGCTCCCTCGTCCTAAGCCCAAATGAGCGTAGGCGATGCAAACACCACTGTCAGTATCACCATGTTTTCTATGCCTACTCTGGCTTAGAAAACTTGGTTTGAACAATAACTTCAAGCCAATCATAACTGGGTTTCGACTGGGCTCAAAGGAGACGAGATGAAACAACAGAGGTAGTAACTGGTCAGGTCTGATGCGCTTATGGTGAGGCTGCGTGAACTCCCCGGGACGGGAACGGCTGGGGAGGAAGAATTGCAGGATGGAGGTACGTTGGCCAAAGCACAATGCAAAGCTTGCGCATGCTCACCTTGGCAGCAGTACCAGTGAAAACACTAACAAGCAATATGCCCCCGCACAATTTGAAATGATGTGAGTGGATTTAAAAGGCTCTGCTGGTGTTATATTACCTTCATCCTCACAAAGAAAGGATCGTCACTGGTTTCAACCAGGTAGAACATGAAAGTGTTTTTGCAAGCCTCTTTCATGACACCTTTGAGCCGGAAATGCAGTGTGCTGCACAAGTCCGCGATCATGGTGTCGTAGACGGCCGTTCTTCTGGGGAAATAGCTGTATTTTGTCCTTTTGCAAGTGGACTCTTCTGAGGTAGTGCTTTGGCCTCGCCCTTTGTTACCCGCATATATACTGTTCAGCATCACCCTGTTAAACTCTGCATATTCATCTAGAATGCCTGAAATATCCCCCCTTGATTCGTTTAGCTTATTGTCGTATTTTAATTTGCTGAGGTGGAAGGGAACGGCACAGTTGTGGCTCTGGCTTTTGATTTTTGCAGCGTTCCTTTCGCTGATAAAATTATCCTGCCGTGGGAGGCACGGCGGGGGGTCATCAAAGTCCGTGGGGCTACCGTTTCTTAGGTGCCAACCAGAGCTACAAGGTTTTGTGTCTGAATGCACAATTGTCACCAGAAGCGGGCTGCGACTCCTGGATGGCGCATTGAGAATGGGGGATTCGTGTGCCTCTCTTGAGGGCAGAGTCTCCGGTGTCGCTTGGACAGGAAACTCTTTTGGAAAGATACCGCAAGAGGTAGAGTAGCGTGATTTCTGTCTCTTTATGATTTGCTTTAGCTTATAATGGAAACGTAGACATTCCATGTCTAAAGTGTTCTGCGTGAGGTCATCAAAAGCCTTCCAGGTCCTCGTCAACGAGCTTATTAAGTCAGGTCGTTCCCTCGAGCCGTCGTGTCTTTTTGAAGGTTGTAACGTTCTAGTTTTGTCCTTGTGCTTTTTGATAACAGTGAAGTTTGTGTAGTCCTTTAGGGTGCCCTGATCATTTCCCATATTGACAAAACGGGGTACGTGCCTATCGCTTTCCCCTAACCTAGCAGGCCAGCTATGCTGCCACATTTCAGACTCAACACCCAAAACCCTTTTGTCCGTCTCCAAAGAGTCCCGGTCCTTAGCCTTACTGTCTTTGTTCGCAGGAGATTCATAACGAGCCCTTGCCATGGATGTCGTCTTGATGGCGTCCATGGTCTTTGTACTACAAGAGCCACTAAACTTAAGTTTGGGGTGCACAGTTCCTCTGAAGTACTCATTGTCAGAGCCTCCAGAAAAAGCCTCACGTGATACTTCTTCAAGGGCCGCGATTGTACCGATGTCTTTGCTAATGAGTTCTGTACTCGGGCTGGGCAAATTTTCGCCCAAAATTTCCTCTGCATCACTCAGTTCTGAATTCTCTCCAGAGTCTCTCTGGGTATGTAAAGCAGGCATCCGAACAAAGGAAACGGAAGGTTTTTCCCTTGCCGTGTCCGAATCAGCACATGCCTCCGATTCTCCTGTCACGGGGTCCCTCTGCGTGTCTGGCGTTTCCCCAGCAGAGCTCTGTTCACGTGTCTGTCCCGTTGGTTCCTCCTCTCCTGAAATAGAGGCTGCGCTTGCTGTGGGGCTACCGCTTCCCAGATCAAATTCCTCACGCGGCGAGAGTCCTTTGCTGCCGCGCTCTAGCAAGCTTGTTATTTTAGCTGCAGGGAGCTCAAGCTCTAGGAACGTGTCTTTTTTTGTCTCTTTTGCGTAACAAGAAACAGAGGAATGATCCGCTGCCAAAGACGATACTTGACTCTCCAGGATGGAGCATGTTTCTGTGACATCCATTTGATCAGCGGGGTTGGGGTTTATATTCTGGTGAAGCAGCCGATCAGGTTCACTTTGCTCTAATAGGGAGCTGTGCAGATCCACCTCTCCGCTAGGTGAAAGGCCGGGCTGCTGAGAAAGGACACAAGTCATCGCTTTGGCTTCGGCTGGAGTAGGTTGGCCTATTGAAGAGTCTTCCTCCTCTCTCTCGAGCAAGTCCACTGTTTTAACTACAGGGATTTCTTGTTCTAGCAACGTTGGGGGTTTGGCCTGTTCTGTGTCATTCGGACCTGAGGTGTCATCTGCAGCAGAAGAGGCTGTTTGACTCTCAGGGATGGAGTGACGTATCTCTGGGATGTCTCCTTGATCCATGCGATCAGAATTCAGGCCTTTGTGGAGTACTGGATCCTGCTCGCTTTGGTCTAAGAAACCGCAGTGCAGAGCCGCTGCTTTGCCAGTGGGAGTACAGCACGGCTGTGATGGACTGAGACTCGTGTGCTCTGGCTCCGGAGGAGAAGGCCTGTCCGATGAGAAGCTCTCCACCCTGCACCAACCAGGGCTGCGTGCAGGCCAATGGTTTATGAAGTTAATTTGTTTTACACCCACATGCTTTTCAGTAATAGACTGGTCGCTTTTCGTTAAAAGGGTCGGAGTTGATTCCTGCAGTTCGCAAAGGGAAGTCTTAAGTTCTCCAGACTCAGTCCTTAGAGTCATCTCATCCAAGTCATGGCGTAGCGATGTTTCAGGAACAGGACACACACCACTGTTCTCAGGTTTGTTCCAGGTCTCCTCAGCTGTCGAGTCAACTTCCAAGGCTGTATTTTCCCAGGCTAAGTCCTGGCTTTGTCCTGCTCCTGCAGATTTGTTTAGCAACTCTGCCATTTCATTAGGGGAGCTCCTTTGCTCTCCCTGAGTTAGCATATTGCTTTGCACTTGGCTGGATTCCTCAATGCTCAATGAAGTGTGCTCAGAAGAATCACTGCCTCCATCTTCCTGGGAGATGCTGGTGTCCTCCACTGACTCACTTGGGGCTGATGTTTCAATTTCTTTAGCTGGTAGGCCAGTGACCTCCTGGATTTGTGAATGAGTCTCTGGAGATGGTGTCATTTCAGCAGCAAGTTCTTGATGGACAGGACTCGCATCAGAGGATAATGTCAGACTTAACCCATTCTCACATGGGGACTCCCAGTCAAGCGTGCTAGCTGTATCACTCTCTTCCGGTATCCAAATTTCCTTAGGAAGGACTAAGTTAATCAACCCTGCGTCTTTACCTTGATTCTCCAAATTGTCATTATTTTTTTTAGCTGGTAATACAGGGACCTCTTGGTTCCCTGAAAGCGCCTCGGGAGACTGTGTTATAGTGTCAGAAGGTACTTGATGGAGAGGGCTGGCATCGGATGACAACGTTAACATTAATCCACTGTCACATGGGGACTCCAACTCAACAGTACTGAGAGCATTACTCTCTTCTGAAGCTTCTTTAGGAAGTATTAAATTGATCGCATCTGTGTCCTGATCATCATGCTCCAAATGGGTGCTGTTAATTGCTTCAGCTGGTAGGGCAATGGCTTCTTGGTTGCCTGGATGGGCCTCTGGAGACTGCGCTGTTTCACTGAAGGGGCCCAAATGGATAGGACTCGTGTCAGATGACAATGTCAGATTTAAGCCACTGTCACAGGGGGACTCCAAGTCAGCTGTCCTTGGTGTGTCGCTCTCGTCAGGGATGTAGATGTCCTTAGGAAGGACTAAGTTAACGGGATCCTGGTCAATATCTTCATGCTCCAGATCAGCATCATTACTCTCTGAAAGGGCTAAAACAATTGGCTCCAGGTATATATTTTGGTACTCAAAATCTTCCTCTTCTTCCTCCTGGTTTTCTAATGGATCTTGCGAGTTGCTCACTTCTCTGTCAGGGCTGTCAGGTTCTGGGCACTCAGGGCTCACTTGTAACCGTAATTCTTCGCAGACAGGGAGCGATTCATCAGCAGCCACATGCCCTTGGTCCTCATTTTCAGCGGAGAGAGTGAGGCCCTCCACTGCTGTACTTCCCTCAGGAAGGACAGGGTCCTCGCCCTTAGCCAGAGGCTGCATATTGTCCAGCTTCTCTGGAAATTCATTCTGTGCCAAAGAAGTGTCATGTTGTGAAACTTTACTTGAATTAAGGGCTTGATTTGCTTCCTCTGAGCCATCAGTGCCAAGGGCTTTTGGTCTTGGGCTGGCATTGCTGTGTTTCTCAGAGGTGCTGTTGTTACAGCTACCGGTGGAGACCAGGGTGTCAGGCAATTCCCTTCTTTCGCTTTCCTCTTCATCCACCTGAAATAAAAGAAGTTGAGGTTTAACCTTTGCAAAAGAAATGCAGGAACAGAAAGATCTCTCTGCGGTGGAATAGCTACGCTGTTTAACACGCTTCATGCTTTCATGAGCAAATCAGGAAAAGAATAGTGAAATTAAATAAAATCTGTAATACAATATTTTAGGACTAACTTCTGTCCTCACGTAGGCCAATCCCCTATCTTTCAAATTCCTGCTTGGGCACGTCTACCGGAGACGCTTTACTCAAGATTAGAGCAAATTATTGCGCAGTAAGCGTCACTGTCTACATGTGCAGATGTTTACTGTGCAGTAATTTGCTCTAATCTTGAGTACATTTGCTACCTGTAAATACAAGCAGCAATTTTACTCGGGAGTAATTACTGCATGGCATGGCACATGTAGATGGCCAACCAGGAGCAAATTTGCTCTCAGTCAGCCAGGAAGCGGGGGGTGGGAGATTGCTCCCTGCCCCTGGGGCGGGCTCTACCACCAGCACCCAGGGGGGAACAATGTCCCCCTCTTCTGCCAGCAAGAAGCTCCCAGCTCCTGATCCACAATCAGAGCAGGGGCTGGCAGCGCCTGGGGGCAGGGAGCAATCTCCCAGCTCCTGCCAAGAGACAGCTGTCTCCTGGTCCCATGTCCCCTGCCAGCCGCTGGATTAGCACCCAGGGGGAGCCCTGAGCTCCCCTTAACTGCTGCAGAGGGCCAGTGCAGGGCTGGCAGGGGTGGGAGCAGGCTGCTGCCATGAGCAGCAAATCTGCTCCCACTTCCCCACATGTGTAGATGACTGCCTGGCGTGGGCTTACTCTAGAGTAAATTCCTGTGCTCCCCTTGACTGCTGCAGAGGGCCAGTGCAGGGCTGGGAGCAGACTGCTGCCATGAGCAGCAAATCTGCTCCCACTTCCCCACATGTGTAGATGACTGCCTGGCGTGGGCTTACTCTAGAGTAAATTCCTGTAGAGTAAACCCACCCCGGGGCATTCACATGTGTAGACACACCCCTTACCTATTTCTACTGTGCTGTCCACAGGATGTAGTCAGCTAACAGCAACTGGCCAGATGCTCAGTAGGGATTTGGTTTTAAATGGATGAGTTAAGACTCTAAAAATCAGCAGCAAGATGCATCCATAAACTGAAAACAGGACAGAAACATTAGCCAATGGCAGAGTGAAGCAAGGTTCCCAGTGTGTCCTCTATGGGAACAACCATCGTTACTCATGTCTAAAGAATGAAGAAAGGAGAGAAAATGCTTCTGTCCTCTTTCCAAGCATGTGTGACACCAGTCGTTTCCCTAAAGAGAAACTCTGACACTTGAATTTGGGACTTCAGCATTTGTACAGTGTTATTCAGTTCAGAATCACTTTCGCTTCCTGCTACCAGAAAGTGCTCAAATCCTCCGTGAGTTCTCATGCTACTTTCTACCTTAGCGGCTTCCTCTCCTTTAAAAGGTATTGTGCTGTGGTAACCAGCAAATGACAGAAGGATGGATATGGCTTCTTCCAGAGCCCAGACACTGCTCAATGAACCCAGGAGAGAGGGGTAAAGGTCACTCCAGTGGGACCTGTGTGCTGAAAGTACCTGACCTTGACTTAGAGGATATGAGCACTGCAGGCACTAACGTCTAGCCACAGCAACACACTGTTCACCCAGCTTCTCCGGTGGCCTTTGCCCTGAGCTCCAGGCTGCTGTATCTGGGCTACTTACTTTGATGCTGGCTTGGATATGTCTGCACTATAGTGAAGTCCCACCAATGACTGCAGGATGGACATCCCCTGGATCGGAGGCAGATATTTAAGTTGCACTGCCCTGAACAGAAACCCACAATCTTACCTTAGAGAAGGCACCAGCACTATTCACACATTCACCAGCGGTGACGTCTTGGGGCCCATCTTTCAAGAGCAGCCTGCTGGGATCAGGACACTCATCGAGAGAACAGGTCTCGACACAACTCGTGGTTGATGGTTCGTCGCCAGAAAGCCACTGTCCAGAGGGGGAGGATGTTGTGTCAGGGACAGTGCCAGAAGTCTGTTCAGCCTCCCCTTGAGAATCTGCAGGGCACTTCTCCAAACCAAGGGATCCCTCAGGATCTTTGTTTAGTTCCAGAGGATCCTGGCTACAGCTGGGAGTCCGTTTAGCCTCAGATGAAGAGTCCGCAGGGCACTTTTCCAAGCCCAAAGAATCCTCGCCGTCCTCACTTAGTTCAAAAGGGTCCAGGGTACTGTTTAAGGATACATATTTTTCAGGGTTGCTGTGCTCTACCACCTTCCTCGTACTGTTTAGGAGTTTACTCGGCTTGCTGTAGAAGAGAGCAATCCACATATGAAGTATGAGCTTCTTGTCTTCCACGTCGTCAGGTAAATCAGGGTTCCAGGGCCTGGGTGGAAAAAAAAACCAACACATCTACCTGTGAACCCCTGCCTCATTTCTGTGAGTGGTTTTGCAAAGTCCAATCCCAGCAGCTCAAAGGACTCACAAGTCTCTAGTGTGATGCATTTATTCTAGGACAGGGGTGCTCAACCTCTGGCCCATGGGCCATATGTGGTCTGCGGAGGAGCCCCGACATCTGGCCTGCAGGGCTCCCATGGGGCGGGAAATTTAGCGGTGGGAGTGGTGGCCCATTAATATGGTCACTTCCCTCCCTCCCCTGCCAATTTCCCAAACCCCAAGCTCTGCACTGCCAGTTGCAGCTGGGCCACATCCCCTCCCCCACATCTGGATCAGGGCCAGAGCATGCCTTTCCCGCCCCCCACAGGACCAAGCCAAGCCCCCTTTCCCTGTGCAGCTGGGTTATGCCCCTGCCAGGATGCGGTTGGGCCAAACCCTGTTTCCCCCGCAGGGCCAGGCCATGCCTCCTTCCCCTCCTGCAGGACTGGGTAGGAGTGGGCCATGTCCCCTTCTCTTTTCCTTGTGGAGCTGGGCCATATGACCCCGGCACCTGTTCCTGCCTGAGGCAGGGGGTTGGATCTGATGATCTGTTTAGGTCCCTTCTGACCCTAAGCACTATGATACACCCTTCCCCTCCAGGGTCTGGTTGCCCCCCATGTCCCTCCATGTGGCTGGATGGTGCCCACTGCACCAGCCCTGGACCACAAGTGGGATCCAGCCTGCGGACAGATGGGGCATAACCCATTTGACCTGCTGGGGAAAAAGATTGAGCACCATGGTTCTAGGGCATCGCAAATGAGGCTGATATATGGGGGGTTTCCTTCCAATTTCTCTGAAAGAGGTAGACAGAAATCAGCGTGTGGGATCTCTGCTCACAGTTGACTGGATGTGAATGCCAGGTACAGATGAAAAAGCAGAGATCCTAGGTTCCTTTAACTTGGTATAAAACAAGCAGTTGCCAATCAGCGAAGGCCAGAGCTGGATGACAAAGTTCTGTTGCTCCAAATACCATATTCTCTCGCATACAACACACCCTGGAATAGAAGATGCACCTTGTTCTGGAAAGGTGGAATAAAGGAAAGAAAAGATCTTACCCTGTCGGGGGTAACTGAGCAGCAGCAGCCAGGGAGCTGAGCCTGCTCGTGGTTCTGCTCCCTCTGGATGGCTGCAGATTTTACTTCCGCTTTCGCTTGGTATTACCGTATTTTTATTTTACTGTATTTCTCACATACAATGTGCACCGAAATTTCCATCAGCTGGTTTTTGGGGAAAAGGTAAGTGTTGTATGCCAGCATATATGGTATGTATGTAAAGACCATGCCCTCTCACAGCCAATATAGCTCTGCTGACAAAACCCTTGGGTGTGGACACCGTGCCGCTGACGAGAGGGATTTCATTGGCCTGTATCAGGGCTGTCCAACTGGTGGCCAGAAGCCCCCAAGGTCCTGTCCAGCCCCTGCTTCTCCTGCTGCTGCCAGGGTCTCCAGACTCCCTCTCCCTCCTCCAGCTTTTACTTCCTTCCCTGCCACTGGCTGGGGGGGGGGGCGCGCGCCGGTGCG